TAATTACTCATCTGACTATGTTTTAGTCACATCATCTTTACTTAAGAGTAGAGGTAATACTGTTTGCTTTATCAAATGATGTAGAAATATTTGTGTTGTTGTAATAATCCGTGTAGGAAGATTGGTAAGAAGTCTGATTCTAGATGAATCACTCATCTAGTTGCTGAGACCCAGGGAAACAAGCTGATTACCTCATCATTATCATCATCATCAATAACATCCAATTCTCTTAATACAAAAATAAGAAGTAATTGATTCACAGATGCCAGAGAGACAATGTGAGAGCCAGAGATACAAGTGTGGTGGTTAATAAAGAACTCCTTGCCTTTGCTGTTAATAATGGAAAAACGAGGAATCTGTCTGTTTCTAAAGCAATGTGAGTCTCCTGTAGCACAGATGAGTGGCTGTGGAAAGAGGAGAAATAGATGCAAGGGTAAGAGATGCCGAAGTCCCAGACTGCACGTATCCTAGGTTCATCACCACACCTTCAGGTTTTCATGGTTTTTTTTTTTAATTATTTACTCTCCATCCCTATCATAACTTCCCCTCCCTGCCCCATCTCACATTACGAACTCCTGTGGCATAAAGGCAAACTTGAAAAGAGGGAGTAAAATTCAAGACAATTTTGTCATTTTTCAGCTGGCTTAACTGTCCAACATTTCACGGTTTAACAATCGTCCTATAAGGATTAACAGGGCTCCATTGTTTCTGATCACTACCGTCCCACATGAATTTTATCATTAGGAATGTTTTAGAAATGATACATTCTCTTTGCCTGCCTCACCCAACAGACACATAGATGTCTTTGCTTTTTTTGTTTGTCTGTTATAGTTTGCTTGTTTGTTTTCTATGTTTGCAGGGAATTGAAATCAGAGACTCATACTTGCTAAGCATATGCCCTATCTATAAGCCACAGTCTAACCTTACTTATGTTTTATTAATCTCTCTATGGGTTTATAGGCTTCATATGATTGTAACTGCAACATATACTAGTATTTATACTTTTCTGGAAAAGCATACCCATAGTTTTCACCTCATAAATAATGTTTAAGTTAGTAGCTCACACAAACTTAAGAGCAATTATATAGAGTAAGCATCCAGACATTGAGGATTGTACATTTTACTGAAATAGATTTTTATTAAACACTTGGCACTGCCCTTCCATAAATACTTTTCAGCTGATGAACATGCTACCATACAGAATTCCTTGTATGTAAGCCTCCCCACGGCAGGTTAACTGAAAGCATGGATTGAAAACTCATTTTGTTTTCGATGAAAGGGTTATTTAATAAGTCACTAACTACTTACCTAGTTTCTTTCCATTCAAGCTTTATCAACTCTAAAGAAATTAGAATATCATTGATGGATTCACATTTTCTTATATAAATACCCAAGGATAGGAATGGATATATCCATGCTGCTATAGACAATAAAGAAAAAGAAGGAAAAGTAAATCATAGCAGAGCATCTTTAAAAATCCCTGCACACAAGCTTGGTCATGTTTTTAATTTGTTGATATAAGGTGGGAAATATGAAAAGTCTTGGCGATGAAGGTTCTACTCTTTAATAAACATAAATGAGAAGAAAAATTAAAATAATATGAAATAATAGGCAACTCACAGCATTTCCTGGTTTGGAAAAAAAGAAATCTTTGCCTATGTGTTGTCTGAATTGTCAAAAAAACTAGCTCCTGACACAAATGGAAGAGAAAAGAAGATCAAGACTACAATTGTCTTGAGGCCCCTTTAAGATATATCTCATCAATAATAAGCTAATACCTTCAGAGAACATTTTTTCAATTGAGCAGTGTTAGTTTATTGAACACACAGAGAACATTTTAAAATTTCACATAATAATACTAGCGAAGTAATTTTTTAGAAGCAGCAAAGTGTGATTACGATGATATCAATAATCACAATCAATGCTTATAGCTAATGAAAGCGTGTATACATGCTAATGGATTTCTATAACTAAAGAAAAATGTCTATTGCTTAGAAAATGGGTGTGTTTGTGTGTATGTTTGTACGTGTAGGCATGTATATACATGTATGTAAGTATGCATTTATGTGTGTGTATGAGTGTGTGTATGTGTGGATAAGACTGTGTCTATGAGTGAGTGTGTGTGTGTGTGTGTGTGTGTGTGTGTGTGTTCTGTGTAAACAAAGATACTTAATGTGAAAGGTCAAAGGACAACTTTTAGAAGTTGATTTTTTCCTTTCACTGCAGGTTCTTGGAATTAAAACTAGGTTGTCAGGTGTGTTTTTCAAGCACTGCTATCAGCGGATCCATCTCACAACCCTGGTTATTCATTTGTTAACATTTTGAGCTGACAGCCATTAAAGAATCATTGTTCAGCTGATGATGGAGGACCAAAAATAAAGGAACCCAAACCTTGCCAGGTTCTACCACCCCTGCCTCCTTGGGAAGCAGCTTCTCCCTCTGCTCTAATTAAATCTGTGCTCAGGTTCCACATTGCTACAGGAGTATGCTGGAGCTTGCAGAAGACTTAGAGCTATGGGGCTGGGCTCTGCTGTGCAGGAGAATTACTGGGAGTTTCTCACAGAGGGGGCTTTGGGTACCAACCCTACAAGTAACTGTTTTACTTGGATGTAGCAAGGCTCGGGCAGTTTTGGTCTTCTGCCAAAGCTCAGAATCAATCTACTCATTTTGATGCACTTGCAGCCTAAATTTCCAAGGCCAAACTGAATGTTAGAGGTGTATCCAAGGGTTTAAGGACTAATAACATAAATTAAACAGATATAAGGCAGTAATCCAATAGTCTGAGCGTGTCCCCTTTGCCCCTGAGATCTGTACAGCAAGCACATTACTATTCAAAAATGTTCCTTTTATGAATATGTGAGGGTTATTAGTTCTGACATGGCATTTTAGTAGTGTTTTATTCCAAATAATGTTATTTCAAATTAATAAAAATATCAATTATCCTAATCTGGTAGTACACATGTATAATCCCAGTTCTGGAAACCCTAAAGCAGGATCACAAGGTTAAAGCCAGCCTGGTTTATGTAAAAAGGCTTTGTCTCAAAAAAAAAAAAAAAAAAAAAAACAGACAGAGCAAAGCAAAGCAAAAACCCAAAGAAAGCAGCAACTGCGTTAGTTAATGAACCAGGAGCTGATGTGTCAGCCTGAGAATTCAGCAACTGGCTGAGAAGTCAGAACTAACCCTTGCTTCTTTAGGTTTTTCCTTTCAGCTTCCTTTCATGTTTGTTTTTAGGATGCTCATAAAATAGCATCGGATATGAAGTTTTCAAAATATTTTTTTTAAAAAAAAACTCTACATTTTAAAGAAAACCAGATTTTGTTTTCAAAAACAAAACTCAAAAACCGTAGAAATGCTAACAGGGATGTGTTTATCTAGACAACCAGGAAATGCTTCAGTGCCTGTGAACCCTCGTGGAGTCTGATCTCCACAGATGTCCTTCTGAAGCACCTGTTGGAGCCAGCTCTGCCCCTGCCTCATTAAATGGGCTGGAGGTTTAACGTGCCGAGAGCAGCCGGTATTTGGAATGTTAGATATGTGCATTTGCCCGCTATGTTCCTTTCTAGCTGCTCAGGTCCTGCACTGCTCTGGTGACCTTTGGACTGGGTAGTTAATGAGAGAAATCTGCAAACGCTCTTGGATTCACCAGCTTTGCCTATAAAGGTTCGTTCAAAGTGGCAGAATACACACAATAAGCAAATTAGGAAAAACAAAAAAAAGACTAGTGTTTTCCTGCCTGTTTTCATCCACTCTGAGTTCTCTGTCAATGAGAGACTTGTTGAAAAGGTATAACGCTAACTGTAAATCAAAGGGAGTTGAAAATCTTGTCTAAGAAGCTATCATGTGCTTTAGAGTATGATCTTTAAAGGTGTGTTGGATTACACTCAAGTGCCGTACAGCATGATACCAAAGGTGCTGGGATTATGGTAAAGATAATCATTGCACAAGCTGTGTACACGTCATTTCCTCAGAAATGTCTGTGCATTGTACAGTACTAGATTGAATCCTATTGGCCTGAAGGTCAAAGGTCATACATAGTGATTTTCAACACTTCAATTTTGAGACAGCTGAATGATCTCCTGACCTGGCTTTAGTCAGTGAGCTGATCATCTCCATTTTAAGCTTTCCTGCCCTTTCTAAAAATAGCAGGGCCTTTAAGCAGGGGATATTTTAAGCAACTCATACTCTGTTTTTTCATTGGACAGAAGCACATTTTGGCCTCTTGCCCCTGTCAGATTGACACTTGTGCAGTTAGACCTGGATGCTAGTCCATGCTTCTCGCCACTCATATAAAAGAGGCTTGCAAACCTAAAGACCCTGGGATTGCTAGCAGAGAGTCAGTGAACAGATGTGAGCAGAGGGAAGACGTTAAAGGGATGTTACTGTGTTCCTGGGCGATCCTCCAGTTCAGACATTTGCACCTCAGTCCTCAGCTTTTCAGATCTGGCTTTTTTAGTTTGTTTGTTTATTTGTTTTTGTTTTTCTAAAATCTGGCTGTGATTTCACTCCAGAGACACCCCTACTTGTCTCTGGATCCTGACACTTCTGATAAATACTGATAGAAGACTGTCAATCTGTGGATAAGGGAAACTAATGAGAAACTGCTGTCTAATACCTGAGCAGCAAAAGCAAAACCAAGCAAATCCCAAATATCCAAAGCCAGTCCCCAAGAGAGCAACTCAAACAATCCACACTCACAAGAAGACCCGTAGAAAAAACACCAAGATGTGACTGAGTTGATAACGGGGCCGTAGAGGTCACTTGACTGGCGTGCACTGGATACTCTGTATTTTTCTTCTTTGACAAACAAGTGCAAGTCTATGTTATTTTATACAGCTGGGACCAAAAAATTATGCGTGTGAGAAAACACAGACTCTAAAAGCAAAATGGAATTGAAGCGGGTGAAGCCCGTGCCGCCGTCTTGCCATTCCAGTACGTTCATACGTGGTACTCGTGTTTGCGCATCTAAGAAATTTCCATTTTTTCACATCAAAAAATCCAGATATGAAGCCGAAGCTGCCTTCTTCGCCAACCTGAAGCTGTCTGATTTCAACATCATTGACACCCTTGGAGTTGGAGGTTTCGGACGAGTAGAGCTGGTAGGTGAATTTTCTTTAAATGCTTTTCAAAGCTTCTCTCTCCCAGCCTTAGAGCTCCTCCTTCCCTCATTTACCTCTTATTTTTAGCTATCATTGCTCTAATCAGAAGCAGACACCTGCATGCAGGCATGTCTGAGACTGTTTAACAGTGTGGGCTAGGATATGCAGTCAGTGGACTCAAAACAAACTGCAAATTGCCTCACAGAAAGCTCTTTGTACTGAGTAAATGTTAAACACATTTAATGAGGAGTCTTGAATCACTATTTGCCCCCCTGACTGTCTATGACCTTCCTTCCTGAGTTCTGATCAGTGCTTATTAATTTAATTATGCCATGATTAAATTATTTTAAGTGTAAACACAGAAAAGAAACTGTAGTATATATTATATATACACACACACATTTATATACACAAAATAAACGCAGTGGTAGTCTGTAATTGTAAGTACCTAATTAGATTACAGTGATAATGGTTTGGATGTTTATTATAGTTTATTTCACATTATATAAACTTCATGTAGTTTATTTCACTAGGTAAATAGATACACAGTATGGGACATGGTAAAGACACTTTTGTCCAAGTTCACATTGTATGAATGTGGTATTAAAAACCATAAGAACATAGCTCCATTTTGTATTTGGTAGAAATAGAAATTTTAAACCTGACTTTTTCGAGAAAAGTTAAGACAGGAAGTATGTCCTGGTGAATGAGATACCTGCCTTCCAGTGCTGTGGGATTAATACCGTCGCTCCCATCTCTCTGCTGGGCATAGGGGAGTCCCTGGTAGGAAACTCCAGTACAGTGTGCTAGGAACTCCCCAGCACTGTGTAAAGCGCAGTAAACAGTTACTGTTGCTACCCAAGGTCAGGAGGAATCCCGTCCATACCAGTTAAGTGAGCCAGAGCTATTCTTGAAGTTTGTTTGTGTTGCGGTTGGGCTCTCTGGCTTTGACGCAGGAACATGTCATTTGCTGAAGTATTAGAAAAGGCCTAAGAGCTAAGGTGTGTTCCCCTGAATCTGCTTTATACTTCGCCATAACATAAGCTGAAGCTGTTTCAATTACTACTATTTCAGACATGAATATCCAGAATGCGCCTGTGAGGCTCTGGTTATTGTTAATTATGGGTATACAAATCCAGAAAGGGTGCAGAAAACAGACAGTCCAACCTGCCTGCTTTTCTAAACTTCACCTGTCAATTAATGGAGCCTACCCTAGTTTATGCTGCTGTGATAAATGCCACGACCAGAAACAACTTAGGGAGGAAAGATTTGGGGGGCGATTCACAGATCTAAAGTCCGCCATTGAAAAAAGTCCGATGTGGAACGGGAGGCAGGAACTTAGCAGAGTGTAGATGAAGGCTGCTGCTGGCTGGCTTTTCATGGCTTGCTCATCTTGCTCTCTTTTGATTATTATCATTTTTTAAAGATGGTTACATGAAGTCTTCCCACCCTCTTCTTCCTCCAACCCCTTTCATCCCCATCCCTCTCAAATTCATGGTCCAGGACCACCTGCCTAAGGCGGCGTAACCGACACTTAAGGCGGGACCCTCCCATATCTATCACTAACCGAGAGAATTCCTCAGATGTGCCCATAGACAGACCTGATGAAACCAATTCTTCAGTTGGGATTCTCCTTCTCAGATGATGCTTGTTTGTATAATGGTAACAAAACCTAGCCAGCATGAAGCTTTGCAGTTTTTCCAAGAATTTGACAAGTTATAATTGTGATGAGTTTTAATGGCTAATGAAGGTCAAAGACAGCATGATAATTGCACGGTTTGGCTCTGGAGTATAGGAACACAGATCAGTACTGAGAAGACAGATTCTTACTGTGAAGACTATAAATTTCTCAGAGCACTGGTTCTTAACATCTGTGTTGCAGGATATCTGATATTTGACTGGGGGGGGCGTCACATATCAGATAATCCTGCATATCAGATATTTACATTAGGATTCATAACAGTAGCAAAACTACAGTTACGAAGTAGCAGTGACATAATTTTATGGTTGGCAGTCACCACAACATGAGGAACTGTATTAAAGGGTCTCAGCAGTAGGGAGGTTGAGAACCACTGCCTTAGAGCATGATTTGGAGGGTATTTGATATAGTTCCTTAAATCCAGTTTTAAGGATTATGGGCAAGGGAGAGAAAGATAGCTCAGTGGTCAGGAGAACTCAACTCATAGTACCCACTCTGGACCCTGCCTCCAAATGATGTCATGCTCTCTTCTGGCCTCCACAACAATGCTCTCACCTGCACATGTGTTTGTGCGCCAGACACATGCACACACACAAATAAAATTAAAAATAAAGTCTCTAATAAAGACTATGGACAATGAAATAACTGTTTTACTTGACAAAAAAACAACATAATATACAGATTTCTAGAGAATTACTGCAATATACCTGTTTGGTGAAATACAGAGATTGTCTGAGGATGTCTGAAATAGCACTTTACAATAGCTTTGAAAACAACAATTGTGAGACCACTTCAAGTTGAAAATTAGTACTGGCTTGAAAATTTAAAACGAGTAGAAAATTCTCTGAAAAATACACACACAAGATTAGGGGAAATTTAATCATATAAGAGGAAATATAGTTTTAAAAGATCAAATCTATGCAAATGTATGTTCATCTATACATATGCATGTTTATGTATTGATACACACACACATGTATAGGTATAGATATACACACTATCTCAGGGAGATCCTATACATAGCCACCTGATTCTCTCTGTTTGGATATTATACTTTACTGCTTTTTGTAGATATTCAAAGAAAACCAACACCCCTGGCCTAGAGAAATAGTTTAGGAGTTAAAGGTGTTTGCTGCTCATCTAGAAGACCCAAGTTCAGTTCCCAGCATCCATATCAGGCAGTTCACAACCCCTCTAACTCTTCTTCCAGTAAATCTGAGACCTTCTTCTAGCTTCCCTGGAAACCTGCATTGATGTGCACATACCCACGTACAAATACACACATGTACATGTAAATAAAATATTTTTTAAAAAGAATAAAAGAAAACCCAAAGCATTCATCTATACTTGAAATGTATCTAGTTTGCAAAATGTTGGCATAATTTTCATAAATCCTTGGTGTGTCAATGCATCCATTGGAATCAGAGATATGTCCTTAAACTCAGAATTCACAACTTGTGTAACCTTTCACATCCTAAAAACGTATTAGAGAGTACACAGAATATCTAAAATGCATAGATTCTTAACACATGGAAACACAGTTCTGAACATAATAAAAAAGTATCTAATATTTACAACCTGAGCCAACTAATTGTTATTTACCAGTAATAATCAATTAAACAACATTTAAAAATAACACTAAATTGCATAGTAGTATCCTAAACATTTCCCAGGTATGAGATTATTATAAATTCTCCAATGAGAAATGAAGAACTTAGAGATTTGAAATTTTAATCCCATCTCCTAAAAGAACTAAGAGCGTTGTAATTGTTCACTTGATGGGCAGATGATGCTTGCAGCATTTTGCATGAGGATATGCCCAACCTGCTGATCTTAACAGTTCCTAAATTTTTGTTTTGTCAGTTTAGATAAATTCTGTCAGGAGAATTTCTAAATAACTTACTTTGTCTTGAGGAGATGAGAGCATCATGAGAAATTTAAATTTTATTCAGAGAGCAGTCTCCTTTCTATTATCTGCCTTCTATCATGTGTTTTGCCCACGTTCTTAACTAATAGGCTTTGTAATGTGTTCAGTATGATGTGTTTGCTGTATGTCTTCCAGAAAACCAATTCTGCTTGCAATGTCACTCATATGTATGTCATATGTGTATACCTTCAGTCTTTAAGTACCACTATAAGAAAATGAAAAGATACCTTAATTATCCTAATGTGCAATGATTGTAAAATAATGAGATTGGCTTTAAAAGTCATATGTGAAAATGTATCTCCTTGCTTTACAATAACATCCATAATCTGTTCCACGTTTTCTTTTTTGGTCTGAGGTACCTGCTTTCAAAAAAGATTTACCCATAGTCAGACAAACATCTTTGTAACCTGTCAATGTTAGTGGTTTTAACCTTAAATATTAATTTATTCTATAGTCCTAAAATTTCCTGTACCAATAAACTATATTTAGCTAATATACAAATCCAAAAGATAAAGCTTTATTTTCTTGCATTATATTTTTTTCCATATCACTCATGGGAGATTTAGAAGTTTAATTAGGAAAAATTGCTCCTAGCTTTGGGGACTCCCAGTTTGCTGCATAGAGAGAATAAGATTAAACCATAAGCAAAGCAGGAACAGCTCAAGCTGGTGCATGGAAGAGGGAGGCTGAGGCTCAGGTAATGTAAGTGATGCATTGTAGAAAAGACTCGTGAAAACCAAGGCGTAAGAGCAAAGGCTTGCTGACAAAGCCACACTCCAAACTAAAATGTTCAGCCTTACATTTTAAGCCTGCTTTATAATCTTTAAGTTCATATCCAGTTTATAATTCTGCTCATGTAGCTTCTTTGGGAGGAGAGCCCAGGGTATGGCTCATGTCACAGGGAGAATGTCAAGATGACTCATGGAAGTGGAAGACATCCATACAATGAAAACTGTCGTTATTGCCCAGAAGGACAGACTTTTATTGTTGTTGTTGTGGTTTGTTTTGCTTTGCTTTGCTTTGCTTTGCTTTGCTTTGCTTTGCTTTGCTTTGCTTTGAACTGAGAAGTTTTTTTGGCTTTAACAAATGTTTAGATTCTTCCCACTACTTCCACATAAAGAAGTATATGTGGTTTTTAGTTTCTTATCTAGTTACTGTGATAGATTACCCTGACCAAAGCATTTTAGGAGGAGAAAATATTTGTCTGGCTCCCAATTTTAAGTTACAGACCATCATTGCAGGGAAATCAAAGCAGCAGGAACATAGGCAGCTTTTAGAGTACAGCCACTGTCAAGAGCAAAGAGCAGGGGGATAATGCATGCTTGCCTGTTTTCAGCTTTCTCACTATAACTCAGTGCAAGAGTTCCATCCTAG